TTTCCTCATTTTTCCAGGGTTTTTTTCCCCAGGTTTTCCCATCTCTACCCATCTCCGAAACTGATATGCCAATGGCCAGGAGGATGTAGCCTGTGACCCAAAGACCCGGATGGGCGTTGTTGTGTCCTGAGCCTGCAAGAGCTGAAAGCAGGCTCAGAATGTTGCAAATGGTCCCGGGCATTCCAAAAGCTGCCCGGGACCAGACAGGGTTGTGCCATCCTTGTGCGCATGCACAAGGCACGAAAGTGCTCAATTATTATTGGTTCACACTGTCTGGGTCTCTAGCCCTATAAAAGGCCTACGTGCCTTTTGCTGTTTGCTTGGTAGTAGGAGAGAGAAAATAAAAAGCTTGTTAATTGTCACCATGTGTCTTCATCAATTGCAAACAAACTGAAAACTCAACACTGGCGATGAAGGTGGGGTCCCTGCAAGCAATAAAAAGAAGAATTAAGGACTCACCCAGGAAGTCCTGACGAGGGGGAAGACGGCGTCTGCAATCGCGACTCAGCCTGCCAGTACAGTGTCACTGGAGGGTGAGCTCGGCAAAAGGACCTTTTCCCAAACATCAGCTTGCAGAGGAGGTGATTGGTGAAGGTCGTAAACTTTACATGAGTGCTCACTGCTGCACACTGCAACATGTGAGGACATTACAGAATGTGGAAGGGTTGAGGGAGATCATGTTTAGATATCCAGATTTTTTTTATAATGTTTCTGCTAGTTTTTAGAGACTTCTCTGTGCATTTTGAATGAGTGTTCTGCTGTTACTGCTATTGCTCCTCACAATCAAATCTTGGCCAATGCTGTTTATATTTATGGTTGAATTTCCATCTTCTTCACCATAATATTCATCTTTCCTTTTTTCTGGGATATAATAATAACAAGAATAACAAAATCTGGAACATTACCTGAATACCATCAGCACTGACAAAATCACCACAGTCAATTGCAAAAGGCAGCCTTACCTGGAACATCCTGTGACACCCCCTTTAATACCATGGAACCACAAAATTTATCTAACCCAGGTCCTTGAGAAGGACTTGATAGGTGGATAAAAATGCCTACCTGTTGATGAGGTATCTGCTGAGGCCCAGACTATTGTAACTCACAGGGGGGCCTTCAAGGTCAAAAGACTGCAATTTGGGGTAAATGTAGCCCCTGGCATATTCCAAAGTGTTATGGAGAGCACACTTCGAGGTATTCCTGGAGTCTGTCCCTACTTTAATGATGTCCTCATTGCTGGGGAGTCATCTCAAAATTTAGCAGAAAGGTTAAGGGCTGTCTTGCTTCGTTTTCAAAAAGCAGGCCTTAAATTAAAGCAGAATAAATGCAAGATAGGAGTCACTTCTACTGACTTCTTAGAGTTCAGGATTGATGCCCAAGGCATTCAACCTGCTGAATCAAAGCTGCAAGCTATTCAGCAGGCCCCAAGCCCCAAGTCCAAAAGTGAGCTTCAAGCCTTCTTGGGACTCTTAAATTTTTACCATGGATTTCTCCCACATAAGGCTGCAGTGGCAGAGCCATTACACAGGCTCTTAGATAAGCAGCCTCCATGGCAGTGGACTAAAGTTAAGGCCTTGCTCACTTCAAATGCTGTTTTAGCACATTTCAATGAGCAACTGCCTGTTTGCATCACATGCGATGCATCTCCTTATGGGGTGGGAGCAGTACTTAGTCACCTGAAGGCTGATGAGACACAAGTCCCTGTGGCCTACTACTCAAGGACTCTGTCATCTGCAGAGTGGAATTACGCTCAGATTGACAGAGAAGCCTTGGCCATAGTGGCTGGCATAAAGAAATTCCATGATTTCTTATATGGCCGCCACTTCACGGTCTATACAGACCATAAGCCTCTGCTGGGTTTGTTTACCACCAACAAACAGAAACCACATATCATTTCTCCTTGTATGCTGAGATGGTCCATTTTCATGTCAGCATATGACTACACTCTAGTTCACAAACCTGGAAAAGAGATGGGTCATGGAGATGGCCTATGCAGATTACCTCTGAAACAGGTAGAGGCAGACCCTGCTCCTGCCATTAATATTCTTTCCATTCAAGAGTTGCCTGAATCTCCCATCAATGCTAGGGACGTGGCTGCAGAAACTGCCACTAATCACATGCTTACATGCGTGCTGACTTGGGTGTTGTCAGGATGGCCTGACAAGTGCCCAGATACTGACTTCCAAAGCTTCTGGCACAAGAAGCATCAGTTTTTCCACTTTCAAAGGTTGCCTGTTATGGGGTAGCAGGGTAGTAATCCCAGCCTCATTGAGGTGTAGAATCTTGCTCTCTCTGCATGAGGGACATCCTGGTATAGTCAAGGTTGAAAGCGCTTACACGCAGCCATCTTTGGTAGCCTGGGCTCGATAAAGCCATCGAGGCTCAGGTGCATGGGTGCCAACTGTGCCAACAAACACGGCCTGAAATGCCTCAGGGCCCAGTACACAGGTGGGAGGAAACGCAAACCCCAGGGTCACAGGTGCATATAGAGCATGCTGGGCCCTTTCAGGGGCAATTCTTCCTTCTCATCGTTGACAGCCATTCTAAGTGGCTAGAGGTTGTTCCTGTTTCCTCCACTACTACTGCCAGGACCATCCAGGTGCTGAGAGGAGTTTTTGCCTCACATGAGCTTCCAGATGTCCCGGTCTCTGATAATGGCCCCCAATTTACCTCTTTTGAGTTCCAGGCTTTTCTTCAGGTCAATGTGGTCTACTATGCTCCATTCTGCTCCATTCCACCCATCTTCCAACGGCCAGGCAGAGAGGATGGTGCGTACTACCCAAAATGCCCTCAGGAAACTGACTTACGGTAACTGGCATCACAGGTTAGCAGATTTCCTTCTTGCACACCACACCACACCTTGCACAGCTACAGGGAAGAGCCCTGCAGAACTCCACTGGGGTCGCCGCCTCATCACCAAACTGGACAGGTTGAACCCAGACCGGGTGGCTTCACAGGTGTCACAACCACGGGCATCTAGGAGACTTCAGGTGGGTGATCCGGTTTGGGCTAGGAACTATGGGCCTGGACATCTCTGGGTCTCAGCTGTGGTCTGCAAGGTCTCTGGGCTGTTGTCATACAAAGTTGCCTTGGATGATGGCCATGTTCTTTGCAGATACATAGACCAACTGCGTTGGATATTGGACAGCCATGTTTCTGCTCCTGGCTCTGCTCTGGGGGGGAGGACCATAATATGCATTCTGGGTCACATTCTGGTAACAGGGCCTCACAAGATGCTGAGGCTGTTTGGGGGTCATCCCAAGATTCCGCAAGTGCTTCAAGCAGGAATTCCCAGGATAGGGGGTCATCCTGCACATCCGTCATTGCTCCAGACAGGGAGTTATACCGGGGGTATCCACATTATTCAAACATGTCAGATAGTGCTCCAGACAGGGAGAAAGACAGGGGGTATCCACATAAATCACACACAGCCATAGAAAGGGAATTTCAACAGGGGCACTCGCATAATTCAGCAATGGCTCCAAAAAGGAAGTCACCAACAAGGGGGGTTGCCATGGAGGTGGCTCCTGACTCTGGCACCTCTGGCACCTCTGGCACGTGCTCGGGGGCTATGGAGTACTGGGGCACTTCCGCTACTCAGGCCTCTCCAACTGCTGGCCTTGGGCTCGAGGGACAGTGTTCCCAAGAGGAGTCCATTGTGGACTCGGGGATTTCCAACCCTCCAAGGTATACTGACTAGGACTCAGAGGGTCCAGCCAATCAGCAGCTGGGTGGGTCAACCAGGTACAGTATTTGGGGCATCAAAGTCCTGGCCTGCCTAGTCTGGTAGGCGAGCAGGTAGGCCAGGCACCCTCACCAGGGTCACTTGGGTTTTCAGGGCATCGAAGAATTGACCTGCCTAGCCTGGTAGGCGAGCAGGTAGGCCAGGGAACCTCACCAGCCCTTAGGAGGTCGCAGCAGGCCAAGTGCCTACCTAAACATCTACAAGATTATGTGAGGTTGCTGTCAACATATGAGGAACCTTGTTATGGGGTCCCTGAATGAGGGAATTAACACTTAAGAAGAGTTTCATATACTATTTTGATTTTGGATATATTTATTTGAGTTAATGACTTTTTGAAAGAGATTTGCCTGCGTGCAGACCCAAGCATTTCCACCCTCCTTGCATTTCAATAATGCATCTGTATACCACTTTCCCTGCATTACACAATGCACCTGTGCGTAAGCTAAGTGTGTTCCATCTAGGGGGAAGGGGTGTTGTGTCCTGAGCCTGCAAGAGCTGATAGCACGCTCAGAATGTTGCAAATGGTCCCGGGCATTCCAAAAGCTGCCCGGGACCAGACAGGGTGGCAACAGCCATGTGCGCCTGCTCAAGGTGCGAAAGTGCTCAATTATTATTGGGTCACACTGTCTGGGTCTCTGGCCCTATAAAAAGCCTACGTGCCTTTTGCTGTTTGCTTGGTAGTAGGAGAGAGAAAATAAAGAGCTTGTTAATTGTCACCATCAATTGCAAACAAACTGAAAACAGGCGCGCCTCCCCTATTAGGTTTTTTTACTTTCCGGAAGAGTCTGTTTTTATTGAGGTACATATCCAGTCTTGTTATCTGTGTTCTTTCATGCTTCAGGCTCATGTTGGGATTCAGCTGGTTTCTACCACTTTGGCAGAACCGGTAGCTAATTTTTTGTTTCCCAGGTCCAGAAATGGACTTCCAGAACTGGCATCCACAGAGAGAACCGGTTGTTCACATATTTGAATCCCACCACTGTTCAGGCTGCATGATATAGAGCCAAGTTATATAAGGATGTGAACAAAGGGAAATTGCTTAGTCTATTTGTTGCTTTCTTGCTTGTTGTAATCAGCTTTAGCACCAGAGAAATTTCATGCAAGCTTGGGAAACGTGTACATGGATGGGATATACTGAAGTAGGAAATAAGGAAGTATACAGGAATGATTGATGTCTTTCTTATGATGCAGTGGCTCTGTTGTCTGATTTTCATTGGCTAACAAAATGTATAAAGCAATGCTACCAACCTTCTAAGACGTTACACTTCTGGACGTAACTCTGCCAGCGTTCCAGATTGTTGGCCACCCAGCTGCTTAATTTGATCAAATAAAGTGCTGCTTGATCAAGAAGTCTCTGCTTGGGTTATCTGATTAGGTTGATATGGTATCTCCAGTTTAAGTTTGGGACTGGGATCTTACAGCAGAGAAACTGGTGTTTTTTCCCCATCTGTCCTTCTGCCTCAGAGTGGAAGAGAAGAAAGTAATTAATCAAATATTTTGAACTGTGCATTCTTGCCTAAATTGTTCCCCATTTCTAAATTCCAGGCAAATAGCTTGCCGTGCAGAGTTGAAGCTATGGTGCTGATCAGAGTGCTAGCAACCCTTCTGATACTACAGCTTTCTTACGGTAAGAACCTGGACAATGGAGCAAGGGGTGAACAGAGCTTTAAGTGTCTTTTTTGGTTGAAATCTCCAGTTACATGAATAAACTTGCATGTAATTATTAACTGTAGATGTACAAGCAGGTCACAAGTAGAGAATGGGCGAAGAAGGCTCGGTTGGTGCAAACGGGCAAGACCATTGCTGTATTTGTAATGATAGTATGAATTGATACATTTATTTATATCAGCAAAACTAGCCAGTTAAAAATATATAATCCCAAATTTAGTCAGCTTCCTTTTATGTTTCTATTTATTTGCAACTGACTTCAATAGAGGAAGATAGAGGAATGGTGAAAAAAGCAAGGTTCTACATTTGGGCAAGAAAAACCAAATGCACAAGTACAGCATAGGTGGCACCATGCTCAATAGTAGTAACTGTGAGAGGGACCTCGGAGTCCTAGTAGACAATCACTTAAATATGAGCCAGCAGTGTGCTGCAGCTGCCAAAAAGGCCAACACAGTGCTAGGCTGCATTAACAGAGGGATAGAATCAAGATCACGTGAAGTATTAATACCACTCTTCAATGCCTTGGTAAGGCCACACTTGGAATACTGCATCCAGTTTTGGTCACCACGATGTAAAAAAGATGTTGAGACTCTAGAAAGAGTACAGAGAAGAGCAACAAAGATGATTAGGGGACTGGAGGCTAAAACATATAAGGAACGGTTGCTAGAATTGGGTATGTCTAGTTTAACGAAGAGAAGGACAAGGGGGGACATGATAGCAGTATTCCAATATCTCAGGGGCTGCCATAAAGAAGAGGGAATTAAGCTATTTTCCAAAGCACCTGAAGGCAGGACAAGAAGCAAGGGGTGGAAACTAATCAAGGAGAGAAGCATCCTAGAACTAAGGAGAAACTTCCTGACAGTGAGAACAATTAATCAGTGGAACAGCTTGCCTCCAGAAGCAGTAAATGCTCCAACACTGGAAGTTTTTAAGAAGAGACTGGACAGCCATTTGTCCGAAATGGTGTAGGGTTTTCTGCCCGAGCAGGGGGTTGGACTAGATGACCTCCAAGGTCCCTTCCAACTTTACTACTATTATTATTATTATAACTTATTAATTAATATAAGATGCATTGAGAAAATAATTGGGAGGGGTTTTCAGTGTTAAGGTGGTCTTTAAAAAATGGTGTATGAGATGGCCATTGATTTTTGTCCAAACTGATACAATAAATCTGTTGGATTTAACCTAGCTCCCATTCATTTAGATTTGCTGCATTATACAGCATGCAATATCTGGGTCATTGCTTCTGAAACAAATATCAAAACCGGTATGTAGGGATTTTACTGCCATCAGTGTTGGCTCAAACTGTTTTTAGTGAACTAAATACTAATGTTATCAACTTCCCATAGAGTAAATTCCATTTTCATCAATCTCTTCCCCACTTTCACTCCTTCTGCCCCCTATTCTCCCCATCACGATGCCATATATTTTGCTTAGCAATACAGTACAGCAAGATCAGACTCTGGACCAAATGCTTCTAAATGTCCATCCTTTTTAGAAGCTCATGTGAACACACTGGCACATGTTGAAAATGAAATTCTGATGCCCTTTCTCAAGTGTATGTGTGTGTGTATATACACACACACACACACACATTAATCACTTAAGATTCACAAGTAGTTTACCTACATGGGCATAGCCCTATATAAATGATTTGCAAATGTCCATCCTTTTTAGAAGCTCATCTGAATTATTCTTCTTACTTCAACTGATTAGTGTAATCTGACTGGCAGATTAAGCATTAAGTTACTGAGCAGTCTTCTATATTTATACCAACAATAATAGTGTCCATATATAGCAATATCTTTTCTTATCAGCTTCTGTTATTTTCATAACAATCATCTTACTGATTCACCATATATCTTATTTTCATAAATCTTGTTTAAGCTCAATTTCTCCATAATATTCAAACAATTCTTATCAGTCATAATATTCTCAATAATTAACATCTAAATATCCAAATTTTCCACTTAAATATATCATCCCAGTATTTTCATATTACATATATTATAGAAATACTATACTACTTATCTATCATAACATCTACCTATATCTTTTCTAATCAATTTATATTTCACTTCTATTTATAAAAATTGATTGAATCACTATATATCCTTTTTTCAAAGTTCTTATTAAGCCTAATTTCCCTCAGTATTTCAATCATTCCTTAATCCAAAATCTTTTCAAACTTAATTTGTCTTTAAAGTTCAAACCTTTCTTTCACTTTTTTCATCCCAATATTTTTATATATTGTATCTTATCAAAAAATACTATATTACCTATATCTCTTATCCCACTTATTCTAAAGCACCTTTACAGCCTAAGTTATTTATTTATTTAGCTATATTTAAACAAGTGTTTGCTTGTATAATATTCCATCTCGTAGGGCAAGTCAAATCTCTTGAGCCCATCTCTAATCTTCTTCCTTTGCCAAATTGTTTTCCAGACTAATATTTTCGACTTGTCAAATAGTTCTTGTATTTTTGTAGTTGCTGTTAGGCATAGAGGATACATAATACGCAAGATGTATGCTTTCTGTCTCCCAAACAGTGTCCATTTTGTTAAGTCTTCTTTCTTCTCAGGTTTATTTTGACATTCTAATGTTCTAATGCATAAGGTATCTTTTCCATATTTATTTATTCCGTATTTCCATATTGTGTGTTTTTTCCTTATTTGTATTAAGTTATAATTCCCTTCATTTGTGACTTTGCAAATTCAGTCATTTTTTTTCTAATTCACATACTGTTATCTGATTTGTTTGTTCATTCTTTACCATCATTATTTGAATGTGTTTTGATTGTAAGTTTAAGTTAGAAGTGTATTTATTTATGTTGCCAAAGTTGTGTTTAATCTCCTCATGGTTTAGAGTTATTGTGATTTGTATCTGTTGTAGCATTGCATAAATTTCTTCTTGGAAAGTATTTGTTTTGTTTTGAAATGTGCTTCTAGAGGTCTTTGATCTTTCTGGCTACATCCTTCAAGAGACTAGAAGTCTCAAATTTTTTGTTGCTTAAGTGAAAAATCTGTTTAGTGAGTTTTGTCCCATTTTACGACCTTTCTTACTACAGTGGCTAAGTCAATCACTACTATTGTTAAGTTAGTACACTGTTGTTAAATTAATCTGGCTTCTTCATTGACTTTGCTTGTCAGAAGTGATCACACAACCCAGGGACACTGCAACTGTCATAAATATGAGTCACATGCTAAGCATCTGAACTTTTTTCATGTCACCGTGGGAATGCTGCAATGGTCATGTGAAAAACTGAATAGCATCAGCCATTTTGATGGCTGAGATCTAAGGCATCTGGTCTTATGAGAAGCTGTGGCATATTTTGCTTCAATTCTCCACTGCTCAGCAACTTTCCTCAGGGCCATTGTAAATTTGAATGGTCACTAAATGAATTGTTGTAAGCCAAGAACTACCTGTATTAATAACTAGATCCTCATTGTGCAGGGGGGCTGAGTGGAAAGTACTAAACAGCTGTACAAGCTTTCGGATTATGGCCTTTGTCTTGCAGCTTGAAGATGTGTGGAGTTCAATTCCCTGAATTCGCCATGCTGACCCGGAACTTGTGGGAACTGAAATCCATACATCTTCAAGTTGCCAAGGTTGAGAAACGCTGGTTTAATTGGTTGAAAGTACAATCATTGATATTGTGCTTTAAATAACTAGCATCCTGGAGTGAGAATTCAGGGGATGATAAAAGTGTCTGTTTCACTTCCCTATTGAATAATTAACACTCCTGTTTGGGAAATCTTTCTACACCCAAGTCCTATCACCACTAACAAAGCAAAGCTTTCTTCACTAAAGTGTTAAGTGGTCATACCCTGGTCATCTTATTTCAGAGCATGATGAGTTAGCTGTGTAATATTTAATGAATTTTTGCTTTCATAAACCATATTTGAAGGAATGGGAATTAAATTTTCCTATGTTGTTATTTTAAACAAGAAGATCTCAAACTGATAAGATAACCTTTATTGTCACTTTTCTGTGAACACACAGGCACACATTAAAAATGAAATTCTGATGCCCTTTCTCAAAAGTGTATTTGTATACATACACAAAAACATATTAATCACTTAAGATTCAGAGGTAGTTTATCTACATGGACGTAGGCATATATATGATTTGCAAATAATTCATTTTATTCAACTGGTTTGATGCTGTGTGTCCCACAGTCATCTGTTACCCATCAAAATTAGTGTACTGATAGAAACACTGCCAATAAAAGTGATTCTGTTCTACTCCGCAGCCAAACACTGTACTTTTTTCGTTTCTTTGCAGCACAAAAGTCTTCTGAACTGGTCGTTGGAGGTCGTCCATGTAACATAAATGAACATCGTTCCCTTGTTGTCTTATTTAACTCTAGCGGTTTTCTCTGCGCTGGGACTTTGATCAACCAGGAATGGGTGCTCACTGCTGCACACTGCGACATGTGAGGACATTACAGAATGTGGAAGGGTTGAGGGAGATCATGTTTAGATATCTAGATTTTTTTATAATGTTTCTGCTAGTTTTTAATGACTTCTCTGTGCATTTTGAATGAGTGTTACTGCTATTGCTCCTCACAATCAAATCTTGGCCAATGCTGTTTATATTTATGGTTGAATTTCCATCTGCTTCACCATAATATTCATCTTTCCTTTTTTCTGGGATATAATAATAACAAGAATAACAAAATCTGGAACATTACCTGAATACCATCAGCTTTGACAAAATCACCACAGTCAATTGCAAAAGGCAGCCTTACTTGGAACATCCTGTGACAATCCCTTTAATACCATGGAACCACAAAATTTACCTAACCCAGGTCCTTGGGAAGGACTTGATAGGTGGATAAAAATGCCAAATCCAGTCTAAATATCTGACTGACTGCACAACTAACCAGAAAATATTAACCATATGCTGCCTGACTCTGAAGGTTTGCCATAAGAAAATAAATTTAAAAAAAAATCAGTAAAACATAAAACATAAAAAGATGATGAAGTGAGAGGCTTCTTTCTCCCTTATCAAAGGCCTGGGTGAGGCACTACACCTTAATACCTCTTCTAAACAAGAGCAGAGTGGGAACCATCCAGATTTTGTTTTCGTATTTATCTATCCCACCATCCTTTGAGATAGGCTGGGTTGAGAGAGGATGAGTGCAATACAAAGTCATAACATTAGTACTGTGAGCACATGGGTTCTATCTTTAACACAGTCATCTACAATTTATAAATGCAACATTCACACAATAGACATACAAGTCAAGAAAGAGATGGATTCATACTATATGCTGAGGTTTCTGAGTGCTAAACAGCACACAGGTGAATTCACACTTCAGGATTTTGTGTAAACAATAGAAATAGCTTATTCAATCACCTTGAATAAATTTCTTGAGTGAACCCAGATCTCTAGGACATTGACTGTAACTATTTATTTTATTTTATTTTCAGTGTTTATATGCCGCCCAATCCCAAAGGACTCAGGGCGGCGTACAAAGTTAAAACAATGATAAAACAATAAAATAAAGCAGTCATAAAGCAGGTTTCTGGCAGGTTTTCTTCCCAAACATAGTTGGAGAAGGTAAGTTATGGCCCTTTCTTGTTTGGTGCTAATGATCCTGCTTGAGGGCCAAAATGAGGTCAAGGAACATCCATAGTAATATAGAGTTTACTTTAAGTTGTTGTTGCTAACTTCTTTTTGTTTTTCTTGTAGTAAAAATTTCCAGATACAGCTTGGTGTGCATAGCAAAAAGGTACGAAATGAGGATGAGCAGACAAGAGACCCAAAGGAGAAGTTCTTTTGTCTCGGTAGCAAAACCAATAACGAATGGGAGAAGGACATCATGTTGATCAGGCTGAACAATCCTGTTAGCAACAGTGCACACATTGCGCCTCTCAGCTTGCCTTCCAGCCCTCCCAGTGTGGGCTCACTTTGCCGTATTATGGGATGGGGCACAATCTCATCTACTAAAGGTAGGGATCTCTGTCTATACTCTCAGACCCAACTTTTGATGTAACATCAACTAGGTCTAGGGTCCCACTATGTGACCCGTGAATATTGGAATGTAGATGGACAATGGAATTCCCTAAGACAGTGTTTCCCAAACTTGACAATTTTAAGGCATGTGGACTTCAACTCCCAGAATTCCACAGCCAGCAATGCTAGCTGTGGAATTCTGGGAGTTGAAGTCCACATGCCTTAAAATTGTCAAGTTTGGGAAACACTGCCCTAAGACAAGGCTTTTCAACCAGTGATACGGGTACCACCGGTGGTACATTGGCACCTGGCAGGTGGTACGCGACCATCCTAGAAAATTGGTAGTGGGGGAAGGGAATCAGCTGAACCGGTGGCAGCACCTCACAAGCCTGAATGAGAGATGGCTGGAAATGCAGGGCTGTCAGGGCTCAGCGGAAGCACCAGGATCAGTGCTTCTTCAGGGCTGTCAGGGCTCAGCAGAAGTTCCAGGATCAGTGCCAGGCTCCAGCTGGAGATCAGCGGTGATCTTGGTGCTTCTGCTGAGCCCAGAAGAAGTGCCGATCAGCTCAAATGTTGTGATTTACATTCAGATGCTTGGCAACTGATTCATATTTATGACGGTCAGTGTCCCAGGGTCAATGGGAGTGACCAAAATCTGTTACAACCACCCAGCAGATGGGGGGAATAAAAACCAATTACCCACCCATCCCACCCCCACTGCCAATCCTCAACTGAAATGCTCAAAACAATGAAAACCATTGGGTCTGAGAGTATAAACAGAGAGGATGGGCACCACCAGGCATGCAGACAGGTGTCTTCCTCAGCCGTGGCTTCCAGGGGCACTTTTTTCAGTGCCATTGTAACTTCAAACAGTCACTAAGTGAACTGTTGTAAGTCGATGACTACCTGTACTTTACCACTTTTTTCCGTTTTTTTTTTTTTTTTTTTGGTCATCACGTTTTTGACACAGTGCTAGGCAACTGGTGGTACTTGGGTATTGCCATATCCTAAAAGTGGTACAATGGATGAAAAGGTTGAAAAGCCCTGCCCTAAGATTCCATTTCTTCATCAGTTCCATGCCCACAACGTCCTTGGAATAAAAGAAATAAGTAAGGAATTGGCATGCTGTATAGCTACAAAAAATCTTTTAGGGTCAGGTTTTTTTTTTATAGTAGTGCTGTTGGGAATCACAAAAGTCCCATTAGCATGGCAGTCTTGCCAGGCTTCATTACCTTTAATAATGGGGTGTTTTGTGAATTGTCATGGCCATTTTTGAAATGGAGAAGTCTCCCACGGAGGATGTTTTCAGAATATATTTACCACTTGCTCTCAAAATAGCGAATATGAACTCAAAAACATGGTCTATCCTTCGATGGATATAAAATCTCTGTGGATGGTTGCAGAGGCATCAGCTAGAGGGACAGAAACTCCTAAGTTGTGGATCCAAAGATAACTCAAGAAGTGGGTGAGCTTTAGGACCCCTTTTTATCCTGAAAAGTTCTTGATTTATTGATTAGCTGGGATTGGGGTTTATTCCATATTCTCAGGCTCAACTTTGTCTGATTCAGATGACATTTTTCCTTTGTTCCTTTACACTTATTTCCATCTCATCTGTCCTCCCCAAGGGATATTTTGGACAAGATTCCTCGCTTTTTGTTCTTGTATACAATTCAAACGTATGGGTCTGCTTCATCTTGAGATATGGAAGTTTCAGTATGCTGGCTGAGGAATTTTGGGAGTGGAAGTTTACAAGTCTTAAAGTGGCCAAGTTTGGAGACCCCTATTCTAGGTCATCGCCAGGGGATATGAGATCAGTTCTATAACTTTTGAACTAGCACAGCGGTTCTCAACCTATGGGTCGCGACCCCATTTGGGGTCGAATGACCATTTTATGGGGGTCGCCAAACAACGCGATCCGCCATTTTTTCCCTTCAGGAGGCGGTGCCGCGCATGTGCTCTGCGCATGGGTGGTGCCGAGCATGCACGCCGCACATGGGGGCGGTGCCGAGCATGCGCGCTGCACATGGGGTGGTGCCACGCATGCGTGTCGTGCATACGTGGCGTGTCGTGCATGCGCGGCACGTCCTTATGACCGGGGGTCGCATTATAAAAAGGTTGAGAACCACTGAACTAGCAAAAGCCCACTTTTCCAACAAGGCAATCTTTGCCTAGAGTGCCGGAGAAATTTGAGAAGCCTTGATAAGCCCATCAGCTGATTTAAGACCTATTAATATATTGACAAAAACATCCTGTGCAAACATTTAGCTAAATTTATTTTTCCTAGGAATCCCTTTGAATGTCTTTGAAAGACAATACTTCCTATTCCAGGCAATGAGATTAGCTCTGTTGGTTGGAGACAATGGAAATTATAGCTCTATGTATCTAGATGGTAAATTGTGAAAGGTAGAATTTTGCCTATTTTTTATTTTTTTCAGAAATTTATCCCAATGTCCCTCGTTGTGCTAACATTAACATACTCGATTATGCAGTGTGTCGAGCAGCATACCCATGGTGGCCGGTGACAACCAGAATATTGTGTGCAGGTATTCTGGAAGGAGGCAAAGATTCATGTCAGGTAAGATGATTCATTTTAACACAGACTCCTAAAGAAATGATGCCAAATTTCAAAGCTATGACAGAGATCTAGCCTTGAAGGCATCTTGTAGAAACATACAAAGTTATGGCTTTTTCTAACTCAAGTGCCTTTTAAGTGTCTAGATTTCCAGACCTCCCAATACTGGTGATTCTGGTGGGGGAAACTCAAGGAGTTAAATTCTTCTACATGTATACTGGATTGGGGAATATGGAAGTGAAACATTGGGGGCTATATGTGAATGGACGATGGGAGGGAATTGTTTGCTCCACTTCCCATTCATAGATATGGTAGTAATGTTTCATGTTTGATTTTTCTCAACAGGGTGACTCTGGGGGACCCCTCATCTGTAATGGAGAAATCCAGGGCATTGTATCTTGGGGGGCGCATCCTTGTGGCCGACGTCTTAATCCTGGCTTCTACACCAAGGTCTTTGATTACATTGACTGGATCCAAAGCATTACTGCAGGAAATACAACTGTGACTTGCCCCCAGTGAAAACTTTTGAAAAAGTTAGGAGGAGAAAATGTAACATATTAGTACATCTCTTCTATATCCCTAACTATATCCAATTACATTGGAATATAAATTGGTGTGCAAAATTTTCTGATTCTAAAATGGTCCATTCCAAATATTTTAACCTCTGAATATCTTTCCATTTCTGTCCACTTCTGGGACAGTGGGGTCCTTCATGCTCTCTGAGCTTCTCTTCTTGCAGATGTTTTATTACCCAGCTAGGTAACATAATCAGTACTAGAATATTCTCTTATATTGGTACTTCTGTGGCATTTACAATACAATCATATGGAGTCATGCAGTCACCCCATAAATATATCCATACACCCGGGTCCCACTGTTGCCTAAAAAGGATCCTTGATTAACCCCCACTTCCCAATCACTAAATAGAATCTTTTGAGAATCATGTTTTCATGTAAATTCTCAAGTGTCCACAGCAATAAAATCATATAAATCGTCACTTGTTTTCTGATCCTTTGGTTTTTCAAAGGAATTGCTTGTTAAATGGCAGCATTTGACCAACTGGGCTTAAAAGCCGAAGAAGGTCTGACCTGGACTTCCGATTTTGCATGCTTGAAACTGAGTGAGGAATTTGATCTTCTCTTTTCTATTCTATATTTAATTTCCTCGAAAAGATTCCCAAAAAGCAAAATATCCCTGAAAGGGAAGGAGGGGGATTTCCACCCCACCCTTATAATAATGGAAGTGGCAAATTAATCTTTTTATGGAGGATGAAAATATACGGAAGTCAAACCAATATAAACCTGAAATTTAAAACTCAAATCTGAATAAATGTAAAATTGTTGAATGGTTAAGATTCTCATTCTATAAATAATTGTTCATTTTGAAAATTGAAAAACAAATAGATGCTGACACTTAGTGGTGGATGAAGACTATGACAGCTATGACTTTAAGATTTGGCAAAACCTGGGAAAAACTAATTTGTGTTTGTGACCTTCAAAGCTGTGACAAAAAAGAGACAATAATCTGGGCTGTAGACAAAGAGAATTATACATTTCAGAAAAAAAATATTTTTTGAACTATTTGGATTACAAAAATCTATTTAATCAGGACTCTAAAGCTATTTTCAGAGAAAAGAAAAAAAGAGAAAACTCAAATTCTTGGCCATCATGGATCAGAGACATGTAGAAAAAACATATCAAGAAAACATAAATACTCCACAGGATTATGTATGTATGTATGTATGTATGTATGTATGTATGTATGTATATAGTATACTGCAACTAATTCAAACAACAATGATTTTAAACCACAAAGAAATCTGAAATAATTTTGAAAATATAAATCAATCTATTTCCAAGTTAACACTACAACAAAAAAATCCCAGAAAACAACAACAGAGAAGGAGCAGATAAAACAGATAAATAGATACAAAATTGAGAATAGAGTCTTAAAGATGGAACTTAACCAAACAAGGAAACCATGATTTAATCCCAGTGGGAAAAAAAATCACAAGAATTTGAAAAAACAACTCATCCCTTAAGACTGCAAAATAAATCAGAATTTGCAAATAGCTGACCTACCGAAATTTCCAAAAGAATTTAAAACTTTGTTGAACAAAGAGATAACACCTTTGGAACTTTCAGAAGCAATTAAGAAACAAAAAAATAATAAAGCACCTAGGCCAGATGGTCTACCTGTAGAAGTGTATAAAATCATAGAAGAACTTTTAAGCCCAATAATGTTGGAACTATTTAATGAGGTTTTAACCAAAGCTAAAATACCGGTTTCATTGGAAGAAGCTCTCCTTACTCTGATTTCTAAGGAAAACGCAGACCTGGAGGATATTAAAAACTATAGATGCATTTCATTATTAAACTCAGACTATAAAATCTTTATGGCATAAAGACTTGAAAGATTTCTAGCAGATTTTATACACTCTGATCAAAATGGCTTTTTATCAAAAAGATACATAAGAAATAATGTTAGGATTGTTTTGGATATACTAGAATATTATGAGGTGCACAATGAAAAGCAAATGAGTTTAATCTTTCTTGATGCACAAAAAGCTTTCGATAATGTGAAATGGGATTTTATGTTTAATCAATTGTCATATATGGATTTCAGGGAAAATTTTATAAATATGTTTAAATCAGTCTATTTTAATCAGGCAGCGAAAGTAATAATTAATGGAGAAACAACTGATAGCTTTCCAATTCAAAAAGGTACAAGGCAAGGTTGTCCATTATCGCCATTGTTGTTTATATTATCCCTAGAGGTATTGATCAGAGTAATTCGAAAAGATAGACAGATCAAAGGTTTAGAGATCAAGAAAGAAACGTTTAAAATGCAAGCTTTTGCAGATGATTTAGTTTTTATAATTGAAGAGCCATTGCAATCAGGGATAAGATTGATGGAAGTGTTGAGTAAATATGGGGAAATAGCAGGTCTGAAGCTAAATAAAAAAACTAAAATGCTCATCAAAAACATGATTAAAATACAGAAAAATGAATTCGCTGATAGAATGGATATTCAAATTATGAATAAAATAAGATATTTAGAGATACAACTAACCGCTAGATGTGTTATACTTAAGAGAGACAATTATGATAAACTAATTGAACACATTAAAGCTGATTTAGATACATGGACCAACTTACAGCTCTCCTTCATGGGCAGAATAGCTGTAATTAAAATGAATGTGTTACCGAAAATCTTATTTCTGTTTCAATGTATACCCATGAAATTGGATAAGAATTTTTTTCAAAACCTTAACAAAATTATTCTCAAATTTATTTGGCAAGGAAAAAAAGCGAGGATCAAATTAAAATTATTGCAGGATTCGAAAGAGAGGGGAGGACCTGGCCTCCCTGACATGGAAAAATACTATCAGGCCATAGTTTTACTATGGGTGCGGGATTTGATACTTTTGAAGAACAGGAGATTACTATGTTTGGAAGGTCATGATCTACAAAGAGGATGGCATGCTACCCTATAGGACAAGAAATATAGGTCATATAAATATTTTCACAGGTACTATATTAGACAGGCTTTAATTGATGTATGGGTCAAAACCTGGCAACCAAACTATACTCAAGTCCCTGGCTGGATCTCACCATTAGAAATATATGTACATCCAAAGTTTATTCAATTAGGGAAGATTATAACATATAAAAACGTACTAGATGAGAAAGGGGAATTGAAATCCAGGAAAACTCTTCAAGATGAAGGGATAGAATTAGAATAGTGGGCATATCTTCAATTACAGGTGAGATGTTGGAAAGACAAAAAAGAATTAGGCATAAAAATAGAATTGATAGGGTTGGATAAAATACTATTAGGTACTGAGGATAAAATGATTAAAAAGTTATATCATTATTTGTTAGATCAGGCAATGTATGAAGAACAGGCAAAAGAAACCATGTTAACGTGAAGCAGAGACTTTGATCTCAACTTTGATCTGCATATCTGGCAAGAACTATGGGCACGAAATAGGAAGCTCACCCTGGCCACATCCTACAAAGAAAACCTTTACAGAATGTTTTATAGATGGCACTTCCCACCCGCAAGACTAGCTAAAATAGGCCCAAACATCTCCCCTATTTGCTGGAAATGTAATTTGGCAAAAGGGACATATTATCATATGTGGTGGGAGTGCCCAAAAGCCCGTGACTTTTGAAACAAGGTTTAAAAATGGCTAGAAGAAATACTAATGACAGAGGTAGAGCTAAAACCAGAACTCCTCTTACTAGGTATTACCATGCAGAAATATGATAAAGGGGTACTTTATTTAATGTTACATATTTTCACGGCTGCCAGATTAGCCTAAACACAAAACTGGAGAAACAAAGAAATTCCAACAGAAGAAGAGATTCTACATAAAATCTTATTGTATGCTGATATGGATAGGCTTACTATGGAATTAAAGGACAAGACAGAAATGGACTATTTTGAAATCTGGGACAAATTTTATTGCTGGTACGAGTCAAGAAGAACTGTTCGGCCTTTAAGTTAGTGTTAAGATGGTGGTATATAAAACTGTATGCTAGTATATAGAGAAACAATTTGACTGCATTATATAGGAAAATATGTATATATAGAGATTAGGAATTATATGTATGACAAGGAACAAATTGTTAGGATGGTATATACTGGAACGACATGTTATGTCCTTTTTTGTTTTAACTGTTTTATTAATAAAAAAACTTTTTTATAAATAAATAAATAAAGACTGCAAAATAAATCGGAGGACAAGAAAACAGATTGGATAAAATGGACTATAGAGATGTCAAAAACATTGGGGATGATAAGAGTAGTGGAAAGAAAAAGAAAAAGATTTTCAACAAACATGGAAAGGCAGAAGCCCTGTACAAAGACACTTCATCTGATTTACTTTTTATATCTACACTAACATTTATGAACAGATGGAAAAACCTTCTGACTCAGCAAAATACATTGATTAAGAAAGACATCGAGCAAAGGAAAAAGGCCAAAGTGGGAATAAAAAAAAATAGATGATGGGACTTACCAGAGAGAATACTTAAAAAAGAAACATTTGTTTGAATATGGTTAAAGAAACTACATTCTTTGAATGTAGTAAGTCTGATATAAAAAAATGGAAAAGAAACTCTTAAGAATATGAATAGATGATATTTTCAGTCAATGTATAAGAAAGTCTCTTTCTTCCTTGCAACCATCCAAAAATACCCCTGTTTGTTTATGCAAAGAAAAGCATGGCTAAAAATATGATCATTTTTACAAGGCAAGAATAACACTGTGTTAGGACTCCAAAGAGGTTCAAAAACAGAGTTCCCTACCAACAGGTGTTCTGGTGCAATATTTATGAGATCAGAGGAAAAGGGAGGGAAAGCTAGCTACAAATTTGTTTTCTACCAATATCCTCCAATCTGCTGCTAAAGAGAAAACAGTCTGATGTGTTCAAAGGGTGTGTGACATGCAATCCACAGCTGGCCCATCAGGTGAGTTCTGATTTGTACATCAGAATGGCTGCTTTAAATTCTAAGGCTAAGCCATTGACAACAACATTACACAAACCTCAAGAGAGAGAGGTTGGTGTGCCAATTAGAACATTACTTTTTTTCTAGCAAAGAACCAATCTTTTTTGGAATCTCTAAGAAGAGATTCCTAGATGGATATTTCATCGTGTGGCTGCTGCTAAAAATGCCAGCACTGGTTTCTTGGATGAGTCTGCCCAGTCTCACGGCAAATCTCCGAGGGGACTTCCCATAGGATCTAATCAAAGCAGACCTGAAACAGTCCAGGAAAATATGCACAGCAATGTGGGCTTTGCAATGTGGAAGTTTTGCTAGCAATGGCAACTCTATACCCACAGCAGACAAATTGACAAGGGGAAAGTGATAAGCATTAGGCAGGAACCCAACATTACATAACCATCTTCTACATTGAGATGCTTCTCCAACTGAAAGGTTCTGGAGCAGCAGTCAAATGATGCTCAAGAGATTTCAGCTATCAATTACGGAAGAAACAGAAGTCATGGATTATAGAGAAAATAGATTATAAAGGTAAAGAGGTTTATCAACAAAATTTGATTAAAAGGAGTTTTTTAGATTTTTATTCAAAGTTATACTCTAGCGAAAGCATACACGTTTCAGATATAGAAAAGTATTTACAGGCAGCACATTTTCCTAGACTTACAAATGATCAACGAGATGAGATGAATTGTTTAATTACTTCTGAGGAAATTATTTGGGTGATTAAACAGTTAAAGGTTGGTAAGGCCCCTGGTACAGACGGATTAACAGCAATCTATTATAAAATGTTATTTGAAGAAATGATAGAACCTTTAAAGGAACTTTTTAATAGTATTTTGCTG